GTATAGGCCCACTACGTATACGATCACTACAAAGCTATCCACTTCTAGCCATGCGTCGAGTTCTAGTAGCTTCCTTCGTGGTGGAACTCATATAACGACCGCCTGGCGATCGGTGTTCTTCACCATCTCCTCCCCAACCTCTACCACTCATCTACCGCAACACGCATATCATGTCTCTCCCGACGCGCAAGATTGGTAACACGGACGTAACGGCCATCGGCTATGGCGCGATGGGCATCGCTGCGTTCTATGGCCAGGTTCAGAATGACGAGGAGCGCTTCAAGGTACGCAGTTATTATCGTTTGTCCAAAAGTACGTTACTGACATTCATTCTTTGCACACAGATGCTCGATGCCGTATACGAATCAGGATGCACGAACTGGGACACTGCTGACGTATACAACGACTCTGAGGAGTTGCTCGGCAAATGGTGCGGATGACAGTGTCTTGTATGCGGAGAAGGAGGCTTACTTGGTCGATGAATAGGTTCAAGCGCACAGGCAAGCGCAATGAGATCTTCCTCGCCACCAAGTTCGGCGTCACCTTTGGCCAAGCGAAGAACATCACCGGCGACCCGGAGTACGTCAAAGCCGCTTGTGAGAAGAGTTTGAAGCGCCTCGGTGTTGATCAGATTGACTTGTACTACATGCACCGGTATGTCTCGTCGGGTTGCACAAGCATGAGGCAGAAGGGCTGACGTACCCACTAGAGCGGATGCGACGGTCCCGATCGAGAAGACGGTCGGCGCAATGGCTGAGCTGGTGAAAGAGGGCAAAGTCAAGTACATCGGCCTATCCGAGGTCTCCGAGAAGACTCTCCGGCGCGCGCACGCGGTACACCCCATAGCGGCAGTCCAACTGGAGTACTCGCCCTTCGTTCTTGACATCGAACGTCCTGAGGTCGGACTGCTCTCAGCGTGCCGTGAACTCGGTATTGCCGTTGTCGCGTATTCTCCCCTTGGCCGTGGCCTGCTTACGGGTCGTTACAAAAGCCCGGACGACTTCGAGGCAGACGATTTCCGCCGCACGGTACCCAAGTTCAGCAAAGAGAACTTCCCGAACATCCTCAAAGTCGTCGACGAGATCAAGGCGGTCGGAGAGGCGCATGGGGCACCGCCTAGCACGACGACGCTGGCATGGCTCCTTGCTCAGGGTGACGATATCATTCCTATCCCCGGAACGCGCAGCGTGAAGGTCAGTATCGCCACCTGCATGCTTCGCTTGACGTGGTGCTAATGTAATACCTGTAGTATCTGCAAGAGAATCTCGCAGCATGCAAGCTGCAGCTGACACCCGAAGAGGTCAGGAAGCTCAGGGACATTGCGGTGAGAGCCGAGAAGGACGTCAAGGGTGATCGCTACAATGCTGGGTTCATGGAGTTCATCTTCGCGGATACGCCAGAACTTTGAACCACTGTGCAAGGCGCGCAATGTATTTGAATAGATGGCATTTGGACTTCTCACATATGTACACATAACCTTTGCTATATACGAGAAGGACATGCGGACAAACTGCTATAATCTCTGCGCAAAGATATGTCGACCATGAAAGCCGTATGCGATGCGCAGGTCGGGCGTACACCAAGGGCGCCTCCTTAGAAGTAGACCGAGGCCTGCTGCGCTTCAGGGTCGTCGACCACCGTCGCCTGACGCAGGATATGCCATCCGGGGACGGTCAGAAAGCTTTCCGTTGAGTACCGGATGGAGCTGTTGCGGTTGTTGTCGGGATCGGTGAAAGTAGGTGCGGCAAGTCCAGAGGCGTCCGAGTCATCCGTAGAAGCTGGAGCGCCAGGCGCATCTTGGCTGTAGACGCTGTCGCGCGAGAAGCGTTGCGAGTAGAGGGTCCTGATGTCGGCCGTGGCTACAGAGTTCCTCCAGGTCTCTGATCTAGGGGAGTATGGGAGGCTGGCGGGAGCGATGCCTCGAGTTGATCCCTTCGAGTCCGCGGATTCGTTACCGACTGAGAACCGTTGTTGGAAGGTAGCCATGAATATAGAGCCCAAGTCTAGTTGGAAAGCTGAGTCCGGCCGAGCACTGGCGTGACCGTAGAGTCGGCTATCTGTCATGTCCGAGTACAACGCCGAGGGCAGAATGTTCTTCTCAGATAGAGAGGTAGCCAAGCCAGCGGCGAACAAGGTCGAAGATGCGCGCGAGGACATGTCCAAAGACTTGGTCTTGCGGTGCGGCCAGGTAGGTTGGGATGGCGAGAGATCTGATTCTTTCGTCGGGCGTCTAAAGAACGGCGTGGTGCCCCAGTTGACATACGCCGGTGAGTGCCAAAGCGACGCAGTCTCACGACGAGAGCGAACGGGACTTGGGCGGCCAAAGAGGCGTTCGCACACGGCAGGGTATATGACCATCGCCAGAACGCCTATGAAGATGCAAGTGCCGATCGTGATAAGAACAACTGCGTGTTTACTTCAGCATCAAAGAACAAAGCTCGCAAACCGTGCACATACTCGGGAGAGCGCCGATATGTTTGGACACCTGGTGCTCTGCGACGAGATGTCCAGAGTCATCGGGACTTGAAGGAGAAGCTGCGCGGGCGACATGGCTAGGGGATTCGAAGTGCGAGAAGTCCATGGTAAAGAGCGGTAAGGGTAAAGAGCGACAGAGGATCAAAATAGTGATGGGCCAAAGGAGCAGGGATGCTTGATGCTCGCGGGCTGGCTTTGCTCCCTACATATGTCGGGGACTCCATGTTGCATTCCCGTCAGAGGACTGCTATTTTTGTGAGATGGTCGCGAGAGCAGAAACATTGCTTCAAACTTGCCAATCGGGATATGCCGCCACGGTTGATCGGGCCGCGGCCGCCCGCGGCGAGCATGTTGGGTGGCAGGCTCGCGTCGTGTCTCAGAACACAACAACCACTATCTCCGGGTTGTAACGTCTGGCCGAATTTCAGCGCTCTATCGATACCATTTGTCAAAGGCATGTCCTGGCAAGAATCCCTTACGTGTCAGCCTCGCGAAGGGCGAATAGAGCACGTAGTGAGCGACAGTGTCCGTGCGATTTATGGCGACCCAGCTGGCGCGGTGGACAGCCTCCGTGAACTCTGCCTCAAGGCCCTTTCCGACTGTACGCTATATGCTGAGGATCTTGATACTCACATTCAATGCATGCGGACTGCTGTCAGCATTTTCGAACCTCAATACAGCTTGCCTCGCCCATCGCCAATCTCCTCTGATCGAGATTATCGGCGTTTCTTTCATGTACTCATCCGCGAGGGCTTAATAGAGCTTTGTGTTGAGTTGCTCGTGACACATGGCTTCCCCAGTAATCCTGAGGTGAGTCTACATTTCGATGACGAGTTGAGCTTGTCCTGATTCGAGACTCATGAATAGACTTGTATCTTCCGGGACAAAGACGCGATCATTCGCATGTTGACAAACCTCATCTCGTGGTCACCTGCAGATGAACCTGCCTTTTCAAGGCTGTGCTCAAATATGAACAAGCTCTGGAAAGGTGTATGGGAGCATCGCCGCAATGTGCGACCGAGATCAGACGATCACACCGGGCACGAGCCTCTTCTCGGCACTCTCAAGCGATGGGTGGACATCTACGAGCTTTGGTGCGTCATGAATGTACGCGATCATACTCATGACGAGTCTGACGGTTTCCCAGGCGAATGCATCCTCCAGGGATCGAAACTTACACCATCCAAGTCGCACTGCATCTATGGCCAACTTTCTTCAATGCTTCAAACAGCGATGACGCTTACGAAGTGTGCTGCAACATGATACACGTCTTTCAGTTTGACCGCATTCTTATCTCATCCTTTCTCACTCGTTATGTACTCGAGGCTTTAGGCGCTTCAGGGACGGAAGCGTTGGCGCGGTGCGCTGCTCAGCACCTTGCAAAGCGAGGCCATCGTGAACTCGTACAGGAAGCCAAATTCCTTCATGCACTTGCAGTCCTCGAGGAACTACGCACCTTTGCTCTCAAACATGATATTCTACGCTATTTCTCCTGGGCGATCGAGCTTGCGTTCCGCGCCCGAAGAAACGTCAATGATGGAGCAGATGCGAACCGCGTTGAGATCGGTATCTGGTATTGTGCAACGCTATACTTCTCGTGAGTACCTTATGCATTACATTGCGCCTCAACATACAGACGCTTACTGGCACAGGGAAGCTTACCCTTCTTGGATAGAGGACATAACTTCCGCCAGTGACGAATCAACTCGCTCCGCGGCACTAAGTGCCGGCAGCGCTCAATATCTAGCTAGTTTTCTATCCCGCGGGGTTCAGTTATGTGACTGGGTCATCCAGACATCCCACAGATGGCATCCAGAATCAATCCATTACCCACATAGTCAGTGACGTCTACAGAAATGACCAATGCCCTTTCAAACTTACGTCTGTACTGGGTACTAGATCTGGCCCGTACTCTCGAGGAATTCGGTGGAATTCTCCAGGACTGGAAAGGGTGCCTGAAGAAGGCTCGACTGCTACGGCCTCTTCACGACGCAGCACAGGAATTCCTCGACACATTCAGAGCGAACATGTCCATACGGTGGTGGCCGACGTACGCGAGACTTCGAGAAACCTTTGAAAAGGCTTCCGGAGGGATCTCCGAGTCCGATGAGGCGATCCTTTCCACCTGGTACTCACTTGGTCGAGCGTCCTTGGGTCGTGACTCTAGGTACGACATGGTGAAGTACGAACAGATGCCGCGTTGCGGGAATAGTGTGTGCTTTTACTTCGGAGTAAAGGTTTGTAAGGGGTGTAAGGCGGCGTATTATTGCAGTAAGGAATGTCAAAGACTGTGAGTCAGCCATACAATCGCGTCTTCAACATCATGTCTGACTTATATGTTACCGCAAATAGGGACTGGAAGAGCGGCAGCCACGCGCCCCTTTGTGAGCTGAAGCAGACAAGAGCTGATGTCAGGGAGTTGATGGAAGCGACGAGGTTGAAGCGGCGGCATCTAGAGGACCTTCACATAGAAGATCTGTTTCAACACATGGAAGACCAGATTATGCTACTGGAGGGGCAGCTGTCATCCGCAACGGTCTGACTATGTACACAGAACAATATACTCCTCACCATGTAGATTATCCCCGTTGAATAAACTGCAACATTATACATGCCGCCCGCAAGCAAACTACACATGTCTTATGTGAGGGGATCGTTTCTGTCACACCGCTACAAGCACGACATGGCCAGATTCACTGCGTTCGTTGGCGAGCAGAACGGCGGTGGAAACCCGCTCTGGATTGGATCAACAGGCGCCCTCATGTCGTGGGATGTGGCACGTGGCCTCATCCCTCGCCTGTGACGGTGATCGCTACACTTGTTGCAGACGACCGCCATAGCCTCGTGCATACGGTACAACGTACACCGACTCCGATGGAATCACATCGACGTCAACATCTCTCGAGTGAATGCTATCGCGTGGCGTCCCGGCGGCAGTACGCGGTGAAGGAGGTTACCGAAGATGACCATCACGGCGGTACCCTACCCTGGCAGACCATTTGCCTACTCTTTCCATTGCGCCTTGCGCAACCGATGTATCATAGATTGGCATCTATCCTAACATCTCGTTGCAGTATACGTCCTCCTGATATTCTTTTCGTTGCCTCGAAATCGCGATGAGGTGTCAAGAAGAGCGCCTTGATACTGATCCGCCTTATCCTCCCACTGTCAAGCGTGGAAGAGTGATCTCTGAGGCAATCCAGGCGCTCTCAGCACTACAAAAGGCTCGCCAACGTGGATCATGCATCGCTTCTGCTGCTCTCCGGCTGCCCCCACTCTCTTTTTCGTGTATTCGCTCTGCTTCCTTCTCGCGCTCCGGAAGCGCCAACATGTTTGGGCGCTACTCAAGCAGCGGCGGCCTCGCCTTGCTACTATTATTATATTTTGCGGAACCCGCGACCGCAACAGCTCAATCGTTCGGGATTCCACCAACGTGGCAGGTACATATTCACGAAGACTGGGATTGCCGATTCTCATTGTCACAAGTAGAGAAACGTCAGCTCGCAATGGAGACCTACGCTCGCCAACGACGCGGCGAAGGCTCTTGTCAATCATGTCGGCCTTTCAGACCAGTATATTTCAAGACAAGGTGCGTACTACCAGCGCTACACGTGGGCTCGGGCTGATCTTCTTGGCAGATCTCGACTCTGTCAGCTACCTGACTGACGTCTTCGCCGTGCTAGCTCTCCAGGACTACTACGGCGGCAACTCGACATGGCGCCAAGATGTCATCAACGGCATGGAGGCCCAGGACTCGGAGCTCAGGAAGTCTGGCTTCCACGGTACCTCACAGGACACCATCTACGAAGGACTTGTGTCCTATTACGCGTACCGGGCATACAACGAGACATACTTGCTTCATCGCGCTATGAAGGCGCATGACACTATACACAGAGGCGGCTTCATTGCGTCTAGCAAGTCTTCTGCTGGGCGCAACGTGTCTTTTCCCACTACTTGCAACGGATGTTAGTCCATCATACCTACCATACAAAGTGTCGCGCTGATCAGCACCCTCCTCAGATGCGAACGCCGGTGGCGTGTTTGGGGTCACTACAGTCTCTTGCCTATCCCAACCGCATCTCATTGAACGTCATCGTTTGTAGGCCAAGTATCAGCACGACGATACGACCATCAACGCGGAAACGGTGGGCCCCTTCATGGTGTGAGTGGTCACGCGCATATCAGCTCACATCATCATTCCTAGAACTGATGAGAAACGTCAGCTTGTCGGCTTACCTTTACCAAGAAACGAGGAACACGACGTTTAAGTACGCTGCACAACTCTCGTTGGACTTCATCATAAATCACCTGTGGAACGGCACCGTTGTTTGGGATACGTTCGACGCGAAGACCTGTACTAGCTCGAACGACGGCCCCGTCCCGTATACATCGAATCAGGGGTGGCTCATCGAAGGTATGATTGATCTCCATTCGGAGAATGCTCGTGACTAATCATGTGCAAAGGCTTGTCCGCGTGGACAAACATCACAGGCAACTCTACGCTTCAATCACTGTACGCACGCCTCGATCGAGAACGGATATATCTTCCTGGGCACTCACCACCGCGCACCACAGGTCGGAGGCCGCAATATCAAGTATCACGACCTTCCCCGGCTGGCATTCCCAGGGTGGCATCATCACCGGCAAGTGACGCAGCTTACACGCAGTCGACTAAGATCTTGAACTGACATACGCATTGGCAGAGGACCCAGGCAGCGATGACTACTCAGCGGTATACAAGGGTATCATGATTCGCGGTCTTGCTGAGGCTTGCGTACGCTTCAGCGGCTCGAACTCTAGCATTCCCGCCTACCTGAAGGCATACATCGCGGTGCAGGTACGCCGATCGTTGATCGCGCACGAGACGGGTCTTGAAGGTGTTACGCCTACAGCTCAACTCCTACTTGAACCAAACATCGGCACCGTTAACCGGCTATAACAAGACATCATGGGTGGCCCCATCCAGTCCGTCAGTGATCGCGCGCCGACGTTCAGAGCTTTGCTGACTCTCTCGTCAGGGTCTGGGATACCGCCGGCACTCTGGCCTCTCTGGATCTCATGAACGTCGCTACGAGCTGGTGGCCATCCCCTCCAGTACTGGCTGAAAACGGGATGCGCAAGGTGACGACATCGCACACGGGCGCCATCGTCGGTGGCGTGATAGGCGGCGTCCTGGCTTCTATGGTCATCGTTTTGGCCTTCTTGCAATGGCGTCGTAGACGATGGCACGCCAAACATCGTCTCCTTCCCTCAGACGCAGGTCTAGAGCCCTTCCTCGCCCGCGAACCAGTCATGATGTCGTCCAAATGGCATCGCATGAACACTCCTTACATCCAAACATACCCTACAGACATTTCTGTGACGACGCACAGTCACACCGATTCCACGGCCTCGAGAAGCGGCGTACACAGAGAACCAGAGCCACCAGACGACTCAGATTGGGACCATGTCCCCATCTTATCTCCTAATCGCGAGGACGACAGGTCACAGCGTACGCAGGACTCGCGAGTGGAGGATCTACCGCCTGGCGTTGTCCGTCGTTTGACCAGCGTCATCGCTCGTTTGAACAATCTACTGCGACATCAAGAACCTCCGCCTCAGTATCCCCAGCCATGATGTACCTGTGCTTATTATTAGAATATCAATCATGATCACTGTCTTTTCCCTTGCTGTCTATGAGTGCACGATGTGCGACGAATCGAGGCGCATCAAGTAATGTACTTGTAACGCTTGACGAGCAATGCTATCCTCAACGGGAACGCAAAGGGTCCATCAATCCATGCACCAATGCGATGCTGAGGTGAGGTGCGGCAACGCTAGACGCCGTGGTCATCTTTCGCGTTACTCAAGCGAGGAGAAAGAACCGGTGGTGCGCACTGGCCTTCAACTTGCTCGCGCTGAGTCCTTTACTATAAGCTCGGGTGCGCGGGCAGGCATGGCATAGCAGGCTTGTACACTTGCCGTTGAACCGCTTTCCATTTGAACATCGGCGGCTAAGCTATGCCGCCAAGTCTCGCAATTGCAAAAGAGGAGCCCGAGAGCTTCGTGGCGTAGTGTACGTCCCAGGTGTTGGTATACCGCGCGGGTACGTGGGCGGGTATGGTGAGGGTATGGGTAACGGGTGGCTTCAACGCGACCCGCCGCTGCCGGGTATGCTGCGCAGAGGCCGAAGCTGTCCTGCCCCACACCTGAGGTGCACCGAGGGTAGTCTCGTTACCAGACCGCTGCCGCAAGAGTTTGAGAAGGGGGTTTTCTCTGCGGCTAGCGCGGGGTGCTCGCCTCACGCTCAGATGGCGGACTAGTTACGAGGCTACACCGAGAGCTCCCAAGTCGGCTGTAAGGTCATCCAAAGGCCTCACATGGCACATGGGCCTCACGAAACGAGCTCTTCCTCGCGTACAGGGATCGCCCAGCGCTACCCGTGGGAGAGTCCCGCCTCCCCCGTACCCGTCGTCGATGGGACGGGTATATGGCGGGTAGTCGTGGCGGGTGAGCTTGTCGCCGCCCACGGGGGCACCCCGCGTTCTCTGATCTGCTCTGATGCGCCCGCGTTATGGGATCTATGATTCGGAGCGGGCGAGTTCACCGCACAGTCCGCTCCGCTCCTCACGCGTCGCGGTGCAGGTATCGAACGGCATCAGACTGTCGCCTCCACATAAGCCACGAATCCAACACTAGGTCTGAAGCGTGCAAGTTGCCATGGTGCAGCGTGCAAGAGACCTCGTCATTCATCCATTCATAAACATAACACATAAGAAACACCATCCACGCCCAGCGCACGCCTCATCCAAATTCAAATTCGAATGCGACAAGAAACCAATCCCGATCCTTTTGCGTCCATCTCGCGCCTAGTTCGTCTGCGCCCCCACAGCCTACACCACCACAAATCATCAGCCATCCACTCTCTCACTATACAAGGGAAGGACGGGGTACGCACCAGCCGCTTCAAATGCTCCATAAACACCTGCAAGCTGACGTCGTCCGTGAAGATGGCCTGGCCGGGCGCGCCGCCGCCGGTGCCGTAGAGCCCGCCGGACATGTGCGTGGTGGACGGGTTGAGCTTGGAGAGGAGGAAGCGCGCTTGGGAGCCGCCTTGGTCGCAGACGATGTAGCTGTGGGGTTGGGTTAGCCAGCGAAACGAAGGAGGTGGAACAGGAGGGGCGTGGGGCAGGGAGGAGGGGGGGGATAGGAGAAGAGGACGCACCGAGGAATCGGGAAGCGGTCCGCCAACAGCTCCTGCGCGTCCTTCACGGGCAACGTCAACAGCTCCGCCAGATTCTCGTATCCCTCTTGCTCATGATACCCCGCCTTCCTCCACTATGACACCCCGTCAATCAGCACCCGCACATTCACACTTCAATACGACGTGAGAAACGCACCTGAGCGACCGTCTCGCCGTGGAAGATCAAGATGTGGAAGAACGTGTCGAGGAGGAGGACGGTGTCGGGTTTGATGGATATGCTGTCGAGAAGCACGGGTGCGGGTGGCGTGTCGAGGCCGTATGACATGAGCGTGGGCTGGATCATGATCAGGCTGTTGTTCACGTCCTCCTCGTTCAACGCGTGCCTACAACCCATATCAACAATCTCGCGCGATCATAAAAAACAACAAGTAAAACGCACCTGTAGAAAGCCGTCTCGTCCGGACTATTGTTAAACACCTGCAAAAACTGGCTCCTCCGCAAATGGAACATAAACTGCGGATAAATGCTAAACCCGTCCGCCAGCCTAAAGCTACTAGAGTCCTCCTTCCGATAATCCGCGAACTTCTGACACAACCTAATCAGCATCCTGTCCAGCCACCGCAGCACGTCCGGGCTGTCGTCGATCTCGGCCTTAAACACCGCGATGCGCGCCATGAGCACGGCCGAGGCCTCCTGGTCGAACGACGCGCCCACGGCGGGCGCGCCGGCCTCGGCGAACGTGCGCGCGAGCGTTGTGACGCGCAGCCGCATCTGGCCGGAGGAGTGCTGGTAGTGCGTGACGAACTGGACGAGGCCGCGGGAGTTGGGCGGGAGCGGCTGGCCGGCGGGCGTCACGACTTCGAAGTAGACCGCTGCAGCCGTGCGCGGCGTGAGCACGTTCAGCTTCCACGCGCTCGTCTGGCCTATGCCGATCTCCGTCTCGCCCACGCACCCGCTCTTCTTGCCCGCGGAGATGGCGTGGCCGATGAGGCCGGAGACCTTGAGCTCCTTGGTCGTCTGGACGTCGAGCGTGGCGTTGAAGCCCATGGCGAGGTGCCCGTCGTCGTCCTTGGCGAACACGCGGAGGAAGGACTGTTTAAATATCGACGTCGCGAAGCTATCAGATAACACGATCACGCCGTTCGTGCTGTTCGGCAGCGCGCGCATCTCGAGCAGGCCGACCTGGTCGAGGCAGCCGGCGAAGAGGTCGACGGCGTGCCCGTTGTTCGCGACGCGCGCGGCGAGCGCCTCGTAGAACTTGAGCGCGCGCTTGTAGTGCTTGACCGAGTCGCGGTCGATGTCGTGGTGCGAGCGGATCGGCTCCTTGAGCTCGTTGCTCACCACCATCCCCGGGCCCTCCGTGCACGCCCCGCCCGCGAACAGCATCACGCGCGCGCCGGTGCCCGGGAACGTCGCCTCGAGCAGACTCACGGCGACAGAGAGCGCGACGCCCGTGCACCGCAGCGGCCGCTTGTCGCTCGCCACGGGCCACGGGTCGCGCTGCAATCCCTCCAGAATGCCCGTCAGCGCAAACTCGACTTGCTGCACGGGGAGCAAGAAGCGCGCGGCGGCGTGCGGGGCGGGTGCGCCGGGCCGGGGGGCGGCGCGCGGTTGGGCGCCGAGGCCGAGCATGTCCTGGATCTGCTTTGGCGTGTAGTCCTTTCCGCCGCGGAAGACGTAGGATTTGGCGCAGCCCTCGTATCCGAGCTCGTGCACGTGCGCCATCGTTCCGTACGTGATCAATCCCACCAGGGCGTAGGGCGGGAGGAGGGACAGCGAGACGACGAGCGCGTCGCGCAGCGCTTTGAGGTCTTCTTCGTCCATGCACGTGTCCACGACGAACAGGAAGATCGGCGGGACCTGCGCCGGGCGCGAGAGGGTGTACTCGATCGTCGTGTATTTGGGCAGTAACTCCGCGGGCAGGTTCGTGTTGGAGATGTCGCGGTAGTGCGGCGGGAACGGGTTGCGGCCCAGGCAGAAGGGGCAGATCCAGAGTTTGCCACGGATGTCGATTTGGCAGTACGGGTTTAGGACGCCGCGGCAGGGCGGTTTGCATGTTACGGGCTCGTAGAGTACAGCGGGTTGGTCTTCGCGTTCTTTGAGGGGCGTGTAGAGTGCTGCGATGGGCACGACGGTGCGGTTGGCCTCGATCCGCGACGAGGGCCACACGTTCCACGATAACCGCACGCCTATTCTATATATTTGGTATCATATTGATTGTGATAGAGAGATACGTACCATCGCGCTCCTCGACGTCCTCAAAGTTCATGGTCGTTCGTGTTGATCCTCGTCGCGCCTATCGCCCGCTCGCCAGACACGTCGCCGCGTCGTCGTCACACGTCACACGCTCCTTGCCTCCAACTCTCACGACCCGTGCCTACATATCAAATACCTATACGGACTATACCCCGCCTACCGTATTCTCTCCTATGGGCTTCAAGTACATAACCGGAGGCTAGGATAGCTCCTGATGCGTGTGGCATCGCCCATCACTGGCCGCAGAAGGACAAGGCATCGATTATCCGGGACTTTGGCTTCGACGCCCGCGCCTTGGCGACGCCTGTTCAACCTGCCGGCTCGAAGGCCATGCTGTCGGGCACATCGACCTACAGCAACCTCGCACTCGTTCAACATGTCCTCTTAATCCTCGACCATACTCTTCGAACGACCACCCATCCTGTAGTAACTGAACAGTCCGCACGAAAGAAGCGCTTGAACGTACGAGGTCGAGCAGACAATTGTCTCGATTAGGAAAGAGCTTTACGGGTCGTCTGTCCTCTTCCCTGGACTTTGGACGACGAAGGCTCGTGGGGCTCATGAGGCTCATGTTGATCTTGGGCATCGCCACGATGTCCTTGTGTTCGGTATTGTTCCGCTCATGTCGGAACTAACTCACTCGCCGTCAACCACGACCATCGTCCACCCATATCGGTGGTTCACGGTAATGATTCTTCCCCAAGATACCGAATACAGACATGCTGATGCAACATAAACAGCAGTTAACCTCCAATTTCGAATAGCCCGCCGTAACTCTCCAGATACAGAACAATCAACTTCTTCGTCGATCTTCAAAGCTCTCCGAGATGCGCTGGCTGGTCAATGCTGGCTTATTCTCAACTGGTCTCTGACGCCTACCTGCCCGATGCTGTGGCTCCTCGAATCCTTTCCGGATACACGGTGGTCCCTCTGTTGTTTTCTGGCACACTCTGCTAGGCGGCTTGTCCTCTTTCGGGACACGGCGAGGATGGAGACTCGGAATAAGGCAGTCTGTGGTGGACCTACGAGATGCATCGACAGAGCTCTGTTGCTCAACAAGGCTCTTCCCAGTGGCTTATAATCTGCACTCTCGGCTACTCTTTCACCATAACTTACGGAGATCTCCTCACTCATCATTACCCCTACGCTCGACACTTCTCAAGCTTTCTCTCTTCCCGATGAATGACGACGAAAGAAAGTCCAAGACTCTAACCCTCAACGCGGAGAAGTGCGCGTCAGTCTACTAGCCATCCTACAAACTGACTGACAAATTTTGCAAGTGCCCCAACCGAAGCGACCACTTTCTACACGCGCACCTTTGAAGCCAGAGCGACCGAACTAGAGCGCCATTTTCCAGGGCGCCAGATCCAGACCGCCCAGGCAGACGACTTCAAATCCTACCGCCTGTACATACAAGCCGAAATGGGCGCCTTGAGCGAAGCCAAGATCGCTCAGACCGCCAGACTCCAGCTCTTATCGGATAGGGCCACTCCAGAACGGTGGACGACCATCGATCTCAAGCTACCAGAGAAGGATTGGAAAATGTGTCTGCAACGCGCGGTAGAGTGCATGATGCCGCAGGACAAGCTCACCGTCACCCACCGCCCGCCTTCAACGCCTATCCCCACAACTCCTGTCCACATGGTCGAATCGGACATCCCCCTGGTCGTCAATCTGCTTACTCAAATACAAGAACATATGCGCACTGGGACTCGCTTCGAGATGAGCGCGATCATGAGCGCCCGCGCATTCGATCGTCTGCATAGCGGTCTCGGCAAGGCGAAACTTCCGCCGGACTTCTTCAGCGATGTATCCCTCGACATCGATATCGAGGGCGGGGCGCGCGTCGACACGTCTCTCAGAGTCCTGCTAGGCGAAAAGCCGGAGATCGAGTCCCTCAGACTCGCATATGCCTCGTCGTACTCACTTCAGTCCTTCGAGGCGCGTAAGCTGCGATCGCTGGAGTTAGTTGCGCCTTTGATCCAGAAGCACGAACGTGGTACGACCGCAGCCCCCGCGACGACCTCGGATTGGAAGTTGTTCGTCAGGGCGCTCGGGACGATGGAGAGGCTGGAGAAGCTGCGCCTCGAGGGCGTGCTTCCGTATACTTCGGGTCAGGAGCTCGAATTTCACAGATCTGAGACTGAGCAACTGCAGTTGGGGGAGCTGGTTGGATTCGACGTTTACGACGACCTCAATACGGTCTCGCTCTTCTATGATCTGTTGAAGGCCCCCAAACTCGAAAGGTTCGGCGTACGAGTGGCGCACCTCAAACCATCTAGCAATCCCGCCAACTTCACCTCGACCGTGCGCAATCTTTTCAAGACCATACATGAGAAACTCGACATCGGTCACTTTCAATCGCTGGACCTCACATTGAAACCGAGCGCCGGCGGCAATACGGGAGAAGCCCAAGACGTGGTCGTCACCATGCATCTTGAAGACAAAGCATCGGAGATACCGACAGCCACTTTGACTTTTGACACTAACTTAAGTGGAAGTATTGAGCTGATTAGTCAAGCCATTGGGCTCATGCCAAACTTGACTGCGCTCTCGCTCAGGACTCTAGGCGATCATTCGGTGTACTCGGGCGTCCTCGTGGATGCCCTGGGCACGGCATTGCACGGTGCGCTCAACGTGAAGACTCTCGAGTTGCGCGACGAGGGTGCAAACTGGATCGGGATCGCTCTTCTTGAGTCGGAACTCTCCGTCAGTGCCACAAGCGCGTCGGCCCGGGACGCAAAGCTCGTTTCGAACGAGGCTCCTGTCGCTCTCTTCCCTTCCCTCTCGCAAGTACGCATCGTCGATAACAATTGGAAGACATCGCTGTCCGCTGATTCTCCTCTCGCTGTATGGATCCGCAAACATACAACGCCAACGCCATCCCCTGACGAAGCACAACTCCCTTTCCTTCCCACGCTCCGTAGCGTCCTACTGCATCGCCTGCAACTCCGGCTTCACGAGGAGCAACCGGCGTTCGATGTCTTCATCGATGGCCCCAAGACGGACATCCTGACGGAGCATGTGGAAGGGCTGAAGACTAGCGGGATACCGGGCCTCACGCTTCACCACTCGAAGGATATACGTACGCGTAAGGGTCAGGATAGGACTACGTTAGAATCCGTGGACTCTTCCAAACCCGAGATACTCCGTGATGATCAGAAATTGGGCACGACCCAGTAATTTGCACCATGTTCGGACTCGTATTGATGCCTACTGTTATGCAGAGTCAGGCTACCGTTCACTAGTTCACTCATTGCTTCAAGCTCTCATGTATATTACGATCATACTCCTACATAAGACAGACCCAAGTATGTTATGAGACAGTGGCCACTTGCGTGCTATATGTGCTTATTAGCAGACGATCGTGGATACCCGCAGAGTCAAGATGAGCACCAACTTCATATAAGGCGATATTGATCAGATAGGCGGGCGCGGGCGCGGTCTTATCAGATAACATCTCCGCGCCTGATCCTCGCAAGTCAGTCACACCTTCGTTCCGGCTCTCATCCCCACCTCCACCATCCACTACCGCGGCTAACCCCCTCGCACCTCTCTTCCTACAGCCACTGAACTGTCTTAATCCTTTCCCACGCCTACGAGTCCGCAGGCGGCCCCAACGGACGTGTCTTCTGGTCAATCACCTCCGGGAGTCTCGGCGACATGAGCTTTGAGGTCGATCTACTTCTACGGCTTTGGCGCGTACATTCACGACACTGTGACCCTTGAAACCTAGAGACCTATTGTACTCGTTGCACGGTGGCTCCTCCTATTCTCGGACCGTTTCTTCTGTCTCGTTTGTTCTCTTCTGTTCTCTCCAGGACACAGCTCGAACACACGCGTTGAGCATGAACAAGGCATCGGTTGCCATCTATCTACTACGCCCGAGACAATAGCTCTGCAATGCCTCATATACCCCCGTCCGCCCACCCATGTTGAGCACGGCGCAACATCCGCCCGGCGCCGCCTCACATCCAAATTCTTACTTCACACTCGTTACAAACCCGGTTCACCTCATGCACTCGCAGACGACAGAACGGCCACGCCCCAGTCCACACCCCTTCAACCTCTACAGCCTCGAACTCACCGACAGCAGCACAAACCTCGCCAACGCCCTCACAGCAATGTGCCTCGTCCCCGGGCCCCACATCCAACACATCACCCTACGCGGCACAGCGACAGCCTGGCTCGTATGCTACGCGCTCCTCCAACAGACCCTAGCGACTCCGCCCCTCTCGCCAGTGCCGTGTCCGAACCTCGAACGTCTCGAGCTCAAAGACGACGACGACGACTTCGACCTCTTACTGCCACCTGAGGAGTTCTGTCAGATGAGCACGGCGCAGATCGTCTGGCTGTTGCTAGCGGCGCGGTACCGCGCGCTGGGCGACGCGGCGCGGGGTTTGCTGTTGCGTATTGTTGTGCGACGTTCTGTGATGGGGATTGATGATGCGAAGGTGGAGATGTTGGGGCTGTTCGCGGATGTGGAGGTCGTCGTCGTCGAGGAGAGGGCGCGTGTGCGCGACGTCCAGAAGATACATGGAGGAGAGAGGGCGGGTACGGGATCGGGGGAGGCTCGTAGGAGGAAGAAGGGCAGGGGCAGGGGTAAAGGCAAGACGAGAAAGTTGGCGTGAGTACTAGTATGCCTGGTGGGGGCTCAGAGCCGGCGTGGACGGCCGGGACAAGGACGACAGGTTTCAAGTCGCACTAGCTGATGTATCACAGTACACGCTCAATGACATCTTCTGCAAAGGCTGAGGCGTATTGGTATATAGATAGTGCATTCATGTGGTATAGAAGACTGGGAAACTAGTGTAGAGATCTGTGTACGTCTCTTCCTACATAGTTGGCTGTAAGACGCCGCGCGCAGATCGTCGTTGTGGTTGTCTTTCGAGTCGCGCGAAGCCGTGTGAGCGCTCTGCCGTCCCCTGGCGGCGCTTGTGTGCGAGTCGACTGTGATGTACGTGTGTACGAGAACGCCGCCGCCGCGGCGCTTCTCGGCGAGGGGCATGTACAGAAGGGAGAGCTGGTGGGGTTGCGCGAAGGGGAAGGCTGCGACGGGGGCGTGGTAAGGTACAACGGGGAGGGAGCGGATGGCAAGGGAATGGGAAAAGAAGAGCCGCCAGTCGTTGTGTAGCACTGGCTCTGACACCCGAATGATATCTATTGTCTGTCGTCTCCTACACGACAGCGTTATACAGCGCGCGCACATATGATGTACGCAGACCGCGTAGAGTCTACACGTTCGGCAGCCGCACACAGCGCGGGTGCCGCGTATCGTTCTCGTCTTCCCCGTCCTCGAACGGCCACGTAGGCACCACGCACATCTCCTGCTCAGGAAATTAGCGACGTGAAGCATCTACATCGACGACAACGCACCTCGATCGAGCACGCCGGCCTGCACCCGAGCCACACAGAAGTCCAGTCCAACCACCCCATCAACGCGTCGACCTCCTCTTGCATAAACCCAACAACGCCCCTCACTTCTTCTTCAGAGAGCGCGGGGTCCTCGACGTCGAACGCAGCGTGGAACATCCGTCCCAGCCGACGGCAGATCTCGCGCGTCACGTCCGCGACCGCGTCGCGTATGAGGCGTTCTTGCGGCGTCAAGAGGGACGCGGGGATCCCGGCTGTATGCGTCGTCGAGCAGCGTTGCACAACCGGGGCGAGCCATCCTTTGGACGCGACGTCGTCGTCGGCGCGCGGAGAGTCGGCGGTGGTGAAGTACGGCGCGAGCATCGTGAGGACCTGCGCGCGCGCTTTCGATGCCCGGGCCCGGACGGAGGGGTACGAGGAAGAGGAAGAGAGGGTGTATGAGAGGAGCTCGAGGCGCTGTGCGTATCGCTCGACGACGACGTGCGTTATGCTCGCCCAGTCTACTCCGCTTTGACTTTGACTGTGCGCGTCCCAGCCGTTCGTATCGAGTTGCGCGGCGACATCTTCGAGCTCGCGCAGCTTCATCCCCGCTTCCTCTTTCGATATCCCCTTCAGCCTGTGCAGCTCGCGCGGCCGCCCACGGCGCACGTCGAACAGGCTCGTCAACGCCGGGTCGTAGAACGTGCTGAGCCTGTCGTAAAGGACCCACACGCGCGTCTCGCCCGGCGCGCGGTCGGCCCATTTGCCTTCGACGCGCGACTCGCCGTTCGTGGACGGGAGCGAGCCGCGCCAGGTTGGCGGGCGCGGTTTCTGGGGGTCGGAGGGGTAGTGCGGGGTTTGTTGGGGGAGGACGGGGGACGAGGCGAGGAGGGTGAGGCCGGAGGTCAGGTTGCATTGCATCACCTCGCTATACACCACATCTCAGCTCTCGTCCGGACACAGCGAGCTCAAGGAAGACACGTACAAGTGATACTCCATCCTCACAAACCCATCCACGCCCCTCGGCACGCCCCACTCGCAAAGCCTCTCAAGAATCTTTACATCGTCCCGCGCGCCCCGCGCCCCCTCATCCCGCACCTCGCCCCACATGACGACCTCCTGCGTATCGTAGCTCCCATCCCTGACCTTCGCCGCGCTCGACCCGTCAAAATACAGCAGCCTCAGCGGCCGGCTCGTCGATAGAGTTATGACATGGCCGTCGGGCCCGCCGGCGAACTCGTAGGCGTGCGTGAAGGAGAAGGCGAGCCAGTCGGGGTGCGGGGGGAGGGAGGAGCCTGTGGGGAGGCCGTGGTAGAGGATTGTGCCGGCGGGGATGAGCGCGGGGACGATGGTGTGGCCTGCGAGGTCGTGGTCAGCGTGTAACCAAGCGCGCGGCGGTGTTATCTGATAAGACCGCGTATCTGATAGCGACAGGCGCGCTCGAACTCGGTGCTCACCTGGACGCACGACGGTATTCGGCCAGCGCTGCATCAGCGAGCTCACAGAGTCAAACAGCAGATGCCCCGTCGCGTGCTCACTCGGCGCCGTATCCCAGTCGTGGCCGCCCGCGAGCTGAAGCGGCACTTGGCTCGGACTAGTACTGTATGCGGCGCCGAACTTGAATGCGCCTTGAGCTTGCACCACCGCGGCAAGTAGGGAAGGCAGGAGTGCTGCCCTCATCGGTGCTCGCAATGACTGTCGTCGTCGTCGTACAAGAGCGAGGGGCTGCTAAATATACGAGATAGCATCAGCATCGATGTGAAGAAGCATAATTCTGACCGGCCTCGGTCAGGGCACCGTGCGCGCGATGGCTGGTGCGGTCCGCATTGGGCGCAGCATTGACAACAACATGAGACCGTACACAGCCCATGCAGAACGTGAAGGTGCAAAGACTGTATCGCAGCGTGGCATTATCGTTGTCGGAGAGCAATCATATCGTAAAGCAAGCCGTGAATCCAAGCTCTAGTAGCCAGTCTATGTGAGTCTATGTGCGTATCATTATGAAAGCGAAATCAGGAGACGTGTGCGGTGCGTGGGGATATCGTACAAGTACAAGTGCGTTGGTGGGATAGAGTGGCGTGAAAGGGCGGGAGAAGTCTATGGATGATATAACAGCATAACGATATTCAGTCCCCGAAGTCCGAGTCCGAGTCAGAGTCAGAGTCGGAAAGACAAGATGAGAGGCAGCCGGCAGAAGGACTCTAGTTGAACTCGTGCCGCGCGCGCTTACTGCTCCTCCTGATCCTCTCGCCATAGCGGTACAGCAAGATCGGAATCGGCACAAACGCGCACGCCAACAGCCCCAACAGCGTGCTCGCCCACCCCACGCCCAGCTTCACGTACATCGCCCGCGCAAACAGCGGGAACGCCGCGCCGAACGCGGAGCGCACGAGATCGTTGCCCGCCAGGACGGACGCGGCGTAGAGCGGGTACGCGTCGGCGAGGTAGTTCAGGACGACGTTGAAGAGGAGCAGCACGGACATGCCGAAGAGCGACGAGCCGATGATGGGGACTATCCAGTGCACGTTCTCGCGCGCGCTCCAGCCGAACCAGAAGAGCGAGATGGCAACTACAGGACGCCTGTCAGCACGAAGCCCAATTAGAGAAGAAGAGAGATGCTGGGGCGTACCGATGGGCGCGGCGAAGATCGCGACGGGCATACGCTCTTCGGGCCTTAGTTCTCCGGAAGCGCTGTAGCGCGGCTCTTGGTAGTACTTCAAGTACGCGAAGAAGAATGGCGTGATGGAGAGCGAGCCGACGAGGATGCCGATGTACGACAGTCCCAGGAGCTGGTCTGGGAAACCGTAGATCCCGCCAAATACGATCGGGAAGCTCTCGAACCTACTCACGCATATCAGCAATCTATCTCCATTGTATGCGCCGGAGGAAGCACGTACCAGATGTACAACAACGCGTAGATCAACCCAATGTAGATGTTCAGCACAAGCACAATCGGCTCGTAAAAGTTCAGCGTAATAGGAATAATAAGCGCCTCCACGAGCCTCTGCCGAGCACTCGTCTGCGCCGCATCGATCTCGGACTGTGCGCGCAAGTTCTTGTCGCCAGTCGCTTTGCGCAGACGTTGGGCGCGGCGGTAGAGGATGTTGTCCGGCGAGGTCTCGGGGAAGAAGAAGAAGAGCAGGACGAGCGCTGCGCCGGAGAGCCACATCAGCTCCCAGATCGTCCATGTCCAGCCTTTGGCGTGCGCGGCGAAGCCTCCTGCCAGCGGACCGAGAACGGGACCTAGCGTCTACGAGTCGCAGTCAGTACTGGCTTTCACTCTCACGATCGTATTGGGGACGTACAGCGAACAAACCCCAAAGCGTGATCGCATAAGCGCGGTGCTTAGGATGAAACATGTCCGAGATCGTAGCGCCTCCGTTGGCCAGTGCGGGAGAACCGAAGAAGCCGGTGAGGAAGCGGAATGCGAGGAGCATGCCGAAGTTCGAGGCGAGGGCGGTGGGGATGAGGAAGAGGACGAAGATGAAGAGGGTGAACATGTACACTGGGAGGCGTCCTATTTGCGGGATCTCGCTGGGGGATCGTGAGTATAGTGAAGTTGGAACAAGGTTTGTGGGGGTGACTGACCTCAGAGGCGCCCAGATCATTGGTCCAACTCCGTAGCCCGCGACTGGATGCGAGTCAACAACGAGTGCAATCGCTGAGAAACGTGCAGAAACGTACCGAACATAGTCAGACCAAGTGTTGCTGCAACCGTACTAACATGGAACGTCTCCTCGACGTCCGTTAAACCAGCAGTATAGATAGACGATCCGATATAGATGGAGAACGTCAAGAAACACGTCTGGAACAAGACCCATCCCTTCTTCGCCGAGCTCCAGTTCTGCGGATTCTGTTCGCAGGTTCATATCAGCCTCATGTCCTCCGCACAACACATACAAAGGAAAGCGTTCATACATCAGGATCGTCGGGCCCGTACCACCCCACGAGCAGCTTATCGGCCTTTTCGCTCTTATCTAGCGCGTAAGACGCGATGTCGACGAGCGTAGATGTGCGCGAGAAGCCGCCGGGACTCGTGTCGTGCCGTTGAAGCGTCGCGCGTCGTTGCGTCTCCTCGATATCATGGCGCTCGGCGTCGAGCTCGGCTTTGCGGGACGATACGGCGGACAAAGGCTGCTTTTCTTGTGCGAAAGCAAAGGCGGCGGGGAAGTGCTGCTCGTCGCTGTGTGGCAGGATTTTCGAGCCGAAGGCGGCGCGGAGGAGGTAGCCGAAGGTCGTGTCTTTGAGTAGTTCGTGTGCGGCGGGCATGGCGACCAAGAGCGGGAGGCGGGGAGAGGCGGTGGATCTCTTCAAGAATCGCAACAACGACCTTATGTAGGTCCCCGCAACCCTGATGCCTGAATCATGCAGACGGTAAGCCCAACGCGGAGCCGGCTGCGCCACCGGGAAAAACGCGCGAGAACAAGCGTGGATCGCGACGAGATGCACAAAGGATTAGGCGGGGCCGTATTGGACGGCTTACAGAGCCTTTCATTTTCCGTAACGTGCAGATAGGCTCCGTACGGTCTGAAGGAGAAGCCGTGGGAGAGTGAACCCACTACTGATTAAGCGCTCATCCACTTCGGAAGAACGGTGGATCCGGCGGCCAATCCGCGTTGGGGAGCGGAAGAACAGTGGAAGGTATGGAACAGTCGAGACCTCGGATGCGCAGGTTACGTCCGCCCGATGAATTGCAAGGCCTTGAAGATCGTTCATTCGCGTATTTGGATAGTCCTTGGGCGGTATACGGCTGGCGGAGGTCTGCGTCGATGGCAGTACGGTTGCTGCATGTCAGAGATGCAGAACATCGGAGAACAACCAAGCCCGAGACAGGTCGCAATCGATAACTGACTGAGCAGAGTGCTTGCTCAGCTCGAGCTCCTTTAGCGCACGTTGCCAAACGTCCGACAACGCACGGAATTGGGGAGGGAGGGATCCATAATAATATTCGTCGATTTATCCCCCAGGTAAAGGGTGGTAAAGGGTGGCAACACGATTGAGTGGGGTAGGAGATGGGCACAGATAGTGCCACAGATGTATGGACGTGGCAGTCGGTGGATGAGGAGCACGAGGTGGCGGGCATCAGACGATTACCGGTCGCGCCGGAGACGCCCACGCTTGTCCACAACCTTCGTCATCTACCGACTTGTCGGTCAATTACCACAGATTACAACTTGCGTGTCCCTGCGGCAACTGTACCGCGGCGATTCGTCCTTCTTTACCAGTACTTGAGCTGTAAAGCAGTGTTCAGCGCTTAACTACACGGAACTGACTGGAATGGGGCGGAACGAGCCCTTCGAGTCAGGGCGACAACTGTGTCCCCAGCGCGTCTTAAGATCGGCGTTTTGGTTCAAATCACGCGGTGTATGGCTGATGGGGTACATTATAGCATTGATCTTTCTACAAGCTTCTATGGGCTACGCTTCTACTTCTATAGTTGGCTCCTCGGTGACAAGTTTAGATGTCGTAGCCCGTGTTCGCCTCGTTCCTCTGGACGAACTTGCCGGAGTGCTCCTTTGTGACGCTCTTGGCCAGCTTCAGGAGAGCAGAGGCACTGTCATCAGGCTGAAGTTGGGCACCAGAGCCACCCATATCTAGTGTGGCGCTCAGTATGGTGGATTGCTACTCTAGCGATGTACATACCGGTGATAACCCACCCAGGACATACCGCGAATGCGATGAGGTTCGGCTTCTCGAGAGCCTGCTTCGCGGACTACAAAATGACTCAGCGTGAGCATAAGGTGAGAGTGCAAGCGGACGCACCAGCATGTTGAGAGCGGCCTTGCTCATACAGTACGTAGGCGCGAGAGTGTTCTTCCCGCCGTAGTCCATCGCGCCGAGCGAGCTGGAGATGTTCATGATGACACCGCGACGTCCAGGGACCTCCAAGAACGGGATGTAGGCATCTGCAACGAGTGCTGGGCCGAGCGTGTTGACCTTGAAGATCTGCAACGAGGTTGCCGTGTTGATCTTGAACGAAGTCGTGTCCTCATGGGGGGCCTAATAAGACGCGACGTCAGTCGATGCACTATGCCGCGAAACAGTGAGTACGCACAATGCCTGCGTTGTTGATCAAGTAATCTAGGCCCTTGTCACCGAGGATCGCGCGCACAGGCTCGACAGACTTGGCGATCGAGTCTTCGTCTCCGACCTCCAGCTGCACGAGATGCACCGAGCCACCCAGCGCCTTCAAGGCGTCCGCCTTCTCGGGCGAGCGGCATGCCGCGATGATGAGGTTCGAAGGGTCCGCTGAGAGCTGCTTGACGAGAGTGAAGCCAATACCGCGGTTAGCACTGCAAACCGGCGGTTCAGTACATGGTTTTTTCGATGTTCAAGCAAGTCCGCCTACCCAGTGATGAGCCAAGTGGTCGACATTGCTATAGATGTGATAGATGGAAAAGTACGGGGACGATGTTGAGACAATGCAGATGGGTGCTGAACGGGATGCCATTATGAATGCACCGCATGTGGGTCAATGACAAGCCTGGGCATGGTCATTGTACTCCGACTTTGTGAACGCTCGGTCAGCAAAGACTCGCAGATCTCTTCCGCACGATGCACAAGCCACTGAGACATATTCTAGAAGACGTGGATTGCATAGGTGGGAATCCGTAGGTCGATGGCTCGATGCAGCGCCCGATGGACGTCGCGGAAAAGCCGCCGGCGCCACGAATACGATCGAGAATACGCGATCACAAGACCGCGATTGGACAGGATTTGGGCAAAACGGAAATATCGGCTGCATCCTTCCACTATCGAGCGCAGAATGCTCTCTCGCCCAACTCTTGCTTTATCACCCATGGCCTTAAAGAACTGCAGGCCGTCTAAGGTCATCATCGCGGTGCTACTCACGTCTGCACGGTAAAGCCTTCGAAATGCCCCGGCCGAGGGATCCAAAAGCGGGAGTGAGGGGAGCTCGTAGACTTCGCCTGACGCAGCGACATGTGCTACAATCGATCGGCCCAAGGATCTGTCCCAGGGATGATCTGAATGCCGCTGCATGTGCTATTGCATGCTAAGACAGTGAGGATTGATTTTACTCTACCACGCTCATATTTCCCGGGGCCTACGGGGATTGTAGGACTCATCCACATTGGCCATGGAGATTTACCCCGAGGTGTTATGTACATTGACATCACTTGCCGACTGCATTCGCAGGCTGCCAACGGTACGCGCGTCCACGGCAATATCGCCCTGACCCTTGGCTTTGGTGATGGCATCTCGTTCTACTGCGTCCCGCGACGGAACTCCTACCCCGCAGTGCAAACGAATGAGCGGACACAAATCTGATGAGTTCCAAACCATATGTAGCAGCAAGACTCTAGCAATCAGGTCCTTGATGCTTCCTCCCTATTTGTATGCTCGGAGATAACAGGGCTCACGAGCTTCTCGACTCACCCATATTATACCCTCGACCCTCTCCATGTCTGCGCAAGCCAATCGACAGGGACTGAGTACTCTGGTAGTCATACTGCAACTCTCACGAAGCGCCCTTGAGCGTTGGAAACGGCTCTAGTTGATGCAAACCCTCGTGTGTAACTCGCATACCACTTTGGATTATTATGTAGGGACTTAGCGGGAGGGTTGCCACCACTTGTGCGAGAATGGTCTGGAGACCAGTCGTACCTGACTGCACCCCAGTCGTTCATGTCCACCGCAGCCGTGAGCAGGTCTCGATCAAGCAACCTGCGAACAGTAGCTTTATTGTGGACTTTCATCGGTCCCTGTGGTCGCAGAAGAAAGAAAGTAGCGGTCAGGTGACTCAGATGTTCGAATCACCGCGTGTTCGAGCCACGCGCGAACCTCATTGCGTCGAAGAGTGTACCTGGACTCTTTCTACTTCCAACGTCGACGAGCCCCACGTCTTCATCCCCGACCCGACCCGCTTTGTGCGTGTATTCGCCGTGTTCCGCGACGACAAACCCACTCACGTGCTCACAGGTCTCAGAAGTCACCGGCGTTAGGCCACCGACGCACTTTGCAATGTTCACCACAAACGCCCGTCTTCAAGCCCATATCCCACCTCCCGCATCCAAGCGCCACCCTCTCGCCGACGCCCAACCGACCGACAAATACCACCTTCAAGCCGCCACGACGCGCGATAAACGCCTCCCCGAAGCGCCGGCCGCGGCCGCGCCCCGCGATCCCCCTGTCCCCAGCAAAGCACCCAAGGTTCCGCCTCCAACTCCTCCCAAAACTATCGTCGATCGTTACACTGGCGGCCGCTACCGTCGCATTGGGTTCTTAGGAGAGGTGCGTAGTGTCTGCTCGTCTGGATGCCAGTCAACCACAAGAAGAGGGTGCTGACCACAACGTAGGGCGGTTTCGCGCGCGTGTACGAGGTCGCAAATGACCATGACACTCGACTTGCGTGCAAGGTTGTTGCGAAAGAATCACTCAAGACTAAGAAAGCCAAGACCAAGGTGTGTATCGCAGCTTGTGCTTTCTGGACATACCATCTAGTTTCCCAACTGTCGGTGTTGTCATCTATTGGAATACGCCTGCCAGCGCGACTCCAGTGAACCGTACTCGGTTCTGCTGTTCGGATCCCGTGCATGTTCGAATTCATACTGCTTTGCAAGCAGCGCTTCGTGTCGTCATGACGCTCTACGTAAACCTTATGCAGCAGGCTTAGTCCGGGCGCTTGGTGTGCGAACATCCGTCAAATGACCGTTCCCGAGCGTCAATATCGTGCATCTTGGAATTTGCCGTGCTGAAGCTGATCCTGCCCACAGCTCTACGCGGAAATAAAGATCCACAAGTCTTTGCAACATCCGAACATCGTTGGCTTCACGGACTGTTTTGAAGACGATGTGAACGTGTACATGACGCTTGAGCTCTGCACGAACGGCTCGCTCATGGACATGCTCCGCGCACGCAGACGCGTCTCCGAACCCGAGACACGCGTGTTCCTCATCCAGCTCATTGGCGCGTGCCACTACATGCACAATCACCAGGTCATCCATCGTGACCTGAAGCTCGGAAACCTCTTCCTCGATGCGGACATGAACGTTCAAGTCGGCGACTTCGGTCTCGCCGCTCTCATTGAGACTCCGGGAGAGCGGAAGAAAACTATTTGCGGTACCCCCAACTACATTGCGCCCGAGGTGCTCTTCGACCAGGAGGCCGGTCACTCCTTCGAGGTTGATATCTGGAGTACGGGTGTCATCCTTTACACGCTCCTTATCGGTCGACCACCTTTCCAGACGAAGGATGTCAAGGCGATCTACGAACGCATTCGCGAGAACGCCTACGAGTTCCCCGCTGAGCGCCCTATTAGCACGGACGCTCGCCAGCTCATCCAAGCATTCCTCACCAAGGACCCAAAGCAGCGCCCGTCTCTTGAGGAGGTCATTGCCTCACCATTCTTCACTCGAGGGATCGTCCCCGCAGCTGTCCCTCAGTCCGCTCGCGAGGTGGAGCCAGATTTCTCTGCTCTCACCAAGCCGATCAGCCGTGCAAACTTGGCTCGTCTGCGTCGCGCGGCAGGACTGGACGACATGCCTATGCCCGACAGCCAGTACAGCGCGCCGGCGAACACCCAGGACAGTGTGGCGACGAGCCAGAGCCGCGCACAGGCAGAGCGGGAGTTTCAGAAGGCGATCCAGCCCGGCTCGCCCATCAGCGCTTTGCTGTCTTCCGCTCGCCAGCCTCTACAAGTCGCACCCATGGGCTCGCAGCGCGAAGAGCCTTTACTGCGTCGCCTACAGGCCGCGCGCGCAGATCCGAAGAGCCCATTGGGAAAGCGTCCATACAACGCGCAGCATGTACTGGAAGACGCCGAGCACGAAGATGAGAAGGCCGAGCGTGAGCGTGAGCGCGCTCAGATGAGCCAGAAGGCACGGATTGTGGCGCAGATGGCTCCTGCTGCTGCCGGCGCCCGTGACGATGACGAGAACGTGCCGCCTGCGGTCGATAGACGACCGGTCGCGAAGGAGCGTGTCGTCCGCCAGCCGGCCAAGCACGAGCGTACCGAGAGTGCCGCGAGTCAGGCATCGAACGTTCATACGGTCCACGCACCAAGATCACAACTGTCTGGGTTCGAGGGCGCACGCGAAACACTTCTCTCCGCCTTCGACGCTCACGCGCGGGGTATGGCATGGCGCGCTGGTGGTGGCCCTGTCGAGCACGAACGCGTCTTCATCGTCAGCTGGGTCGACTACTGCAACAAGTACGGCATGGCGTACGCGTTGACGGACGGAAGTGTTGGCGTGCACTTCAATGATAGCACGCATCTCGTCCTCGCGCCTTGCAAGACCCACTTCGACTTCATCGAGACGAAGGTGCAGGGCGCGCAGTTCAAGCGCAAGAACTACGCGAACTCCCAGTTCCCGAGTGAGCTGAAGAACAAGGTGTACCTCCTCAAGCACTTTGAGAAGTAAGTCCTCTCCCATGCCGCTCTTCGCGAACACGTACTAATCGCGTTGCAGGTACATCATGGAGAAGCTCTGGGGTTCATACGACTTCACCTTCGACGACCTAGAGCGTACGCGCGGGATGGAATTCGTCTCCATGTACCTCCGGATGCGGAACGTCATCATCTTCCGGTTGTCGAACGGCGCCCTGCAGTTCAACTTCTACGACCACTCGAAGGTCATCCTCTCCTCCAACGGCCGCGGCATCACGTACCTCGACAAGAACAACGCCATCACGCATACCACTCTTGAAACGGTCTTCGCCCATGCTCGTCTCGGTGACCTTCCCCGCGACGAGAATAAGTTCGTGCTGCGCCTGATCGAGAAGTTGCGCTACGCAAAGGAGTTGCTCCAGAGCATCCACAACGCCGATGCGCGCCGGGAACATGAAGGCGAGGAGGCACCCACGAAGCAAGCGGATATGGAGGCGGCGTATGAGCAGGCGATGCACCGGCAGGACCGTGAGCGCGCTCAGGACCGGGATGTGCGCATGCGCGATGCGCGTGAAGAGCGGGAGAACCGTGGGCCCAGGCAAGCGTTTGACGGCCAGCCAATCGGCCATGGCTACGAGCGCGACGCGGTCGCTGTCAAGGAGCGACCGCGCGTCGTGTCCGGCACAGGCCTTGTTGCTGCTTCGCGTGAGCGCGTCGCATCGGGCTCGGGAATCCCAACGGGGAGCACCCGCGCGCGCATGCAAACGCGCGTTCCCTCTGGGCTACGGTAATCTGGGTTGACGTTGCTGTCCCGGCGCCAGGCCGGCTCGCGACAATACTCGGGGTGACAGAAAATGATTGAACACCGCGCGTGGAAGCCTGCGGTCGTGCAGCTCTCCCACTACGAGTATGCTCCAAATCGAAACCCATACGCAAGGAGGGCTCCGGTGGAGCCTACGTAGGCCGCACAAAGTGAAGTGTACTGGCGTCCTACCGTGGGAACTCGGACCGACATCCGGAGAGCCGTTCAATCATTTTTTGTCACCCCGAGTACATGACGCGGGCGGCACGACGCCAGGTCGCGCACGCCCTTCACGATACGATTAGACCAGGACTTGACTCGTATATCTTTGTGATGTGCATCTAGCTTTCGTTGCCGCTGTTGTTCGCTGCATTCCCCTCTGATATCTACCTGTTTACCTCACTGCCTCATTGCCCCATCTTTTATCTAACGCACGCGTCTCATACACACTCCACCACATCCACCAGTATTGTACTATACCCGGTTTCGGACAGTAGTTCATAGCCGCGACGTCGTAGGGCGCTGGCGCGCCTGATTCTCTGCCTTGATTCTTACGACTTCTCAATGCGTAATGACAGAGTTCGTTTGCTCAAAGATATGTCTACGGTCACCGACTGACAAGGAATACCCACAGCGGGCACGAACTACGACACCCGAGAGGCCCTACAAGACGAAGGAGCCGCGTGTGAAAATACGCCCATTGGACTGCGCGTGTTTGAAGTTGAGATTATGCGCGCCCAACTCCAACCGTCATGGTCTTGTAGTCAACGCACAAGTTCCCGTGTACACTTCCACGCAATGTGGTCAGGCTGTGGCTATATCACCTGGCGATCGTAGTTGGAGAATCACGGCTCCTCTCGCGCCGCCCACAATGTCCACGCCGAAGACCAATCTCTACGAAGTCATCACAGCCTCCGCTACTGAGGCATACGCTGCCGACAATACCATCTTCGATGAGGGCCTGGCCCTTATGGCCACTCAAACGTCGTACCCGTGCGTGTCTACCTTGTCTCTGCACCGGTACTGTCTCATAACCTAACATCAACGCCAGAATCCTTTCTGGTCCGCAGATCGATGCGCCCGCAGAAGAGCCTAAGATCTCCGTCTTCATCGGCTGGAGTAGCATCGAAGAGCATCTCGCAGCGCGCGAGTCCCAAGCGCACGCACCGCTGATGCCTATAATTGCCAAGGTCTTTGCTTCGAAGCCGGATGTCATTCACGTACCCTTCACCAGCGACCCTCTACCTGCTCTACGTGCGCCTGTCACAGAGATTGCGTGGTTCACGGCCAAGGCGGATGCAAGCGACAAGGAAACCGGTGACAATATACTACAAGTAGTGCAACAGCTTGTGGAGCTATCAGGCTCTCGCGGTGTCGCTGTATCCACTGGGCAGGTAGTAGAGCGGCCTGGTCAAGTCGTTTGTGTAGCCGGATGGGAATCAATCGAGGTGCGTTCATCGCTTTACTCGATGCACATGGCTCATGCTCACTTCGTATGTAGGCACATCAGGCCTTCACCGCAAAGAGGGACCCTGCATTCGCCCCGTTCTTTGGAGAGCTGCTTGGGTTAGCGGGTGCCACCATAGGCCATTCGGCACTCAAAGCATACGGTGGTGTAGCGTGAGACCGTGACGCTTGACGATGGAGGATAAAGCATAGTAGATCAAGAAGTATACATATGAGTAGTACTCGAGCTCGCGCTTCATGTTGTACTGCCATGCTAAACGTGAATTAGCGTCGTTCGCTCGCACCACACAATCGGAAACGAAGTTTTGTCCGAGCAAATAATGACTACACAGAGTATGTGGGCGACAAATGCCTGAGCAAAGTGCCAGTATGGTGACCATATGTGCAAAAACGACTTCGGGCCGCACCTCCGACACTTGCACGCATTGTTGACGTCAGTCCGTTGCATCTTGACTGCCCACCACCATGCACAACGGACAGTGCGATCTGCTTCCTCCGGCTTGGCTTTGTATTACAATGTATTTCCGAGCTTCATGAAGGACAAACATCTATCTAACTATGTGGACCCTCGGCGAAGTCTTGGACGCGCGCCTATCAGGTGAGGATGGTGAGAAGAGCGCCCGTGGCGATGATCATCAAGGGTTGGGATCTGCCACTGGGTTGCAAAATGGAAGCGTGGCTTACGAAACAGGTAGAGAACTGTATTTTCTGGGTAGATGCTGTACGCGTGCACCATTTTGAAGGACAGCGTATAATTGCAATATGGGGGCGGGCCCGGAGGGTGTGCACTGGTAGTGGCAGTTGTTTCAACGTTGTCAGGCTACACAACTGCTACTTTGTATGGAGAGCGTCCGCACCTTACCTGTAAACCACGCGTCGTCGGCGTTGATTCGTGGTGGAGGCGCTCCGGGCTGCCGTGGCTCTACAGCGGCTCATCTGACATCCAGACTCTGGAACGTCAACGGAGCTCAACCCTCTTGTCGTCACGACGAGATATACGTCTATGCAACTGATGTGGGATTAATGTGGCACTGCCTCATTTTGAGCGGTCTGGATAAGCGAACTGTACGTGGTACACGACGGTCTCAGGCCGGGGTCTTCAGACGCCGACGCGCTAATTCTCAACGACTATAGGCCCATTGGAGCCCTCCATTGATCTCGTATGATCTCTTCATACTATCTCCCCATATGATAAGGTTGTACAGCTTTCTTCAGTATTTCTCTTCGATTTCCGACTCGAAGAGCCGGAAAGTCTAATATCTAGCGCACTGCACGTGATCGTGTTTAATTGCAACGCGCGCGGGGTTCGAGTTCACGTATCTTGTTCCGGAGCCATCATGAGCGGGTTCGATCTTCGTGGACAGCTCGAAGCGATCAAGAATGTCGAGACGTACGGGGCTGATAACGACTACGACACCTCTCGTATGAGCCAGAATGAGGTCTACGACGTCCTGAGCCGTGCGTGTCGCATTGACCGTCGCTTTTACCAGTGCTAACAAGGCTAGCTGCAGGCGCCGTCGATTCGATCTCGCAAGATTTTTCGAATGTCGCAGATGACGATAACTGGGACATCTACCGCAGCATCCTGAAGGGTGTCACGACCTCCCCTCAAAACATATTACCGGTGCTTATGACTGAAGTCCTGGATTCACTCGTATCGGCTTTCGCCAATGCCGTCGAGGACACTCACAGGTCCGTCGACACATTCGGTCAAGAAGAACTGGGCGAACGCCGTCAAGTCCTTGAGACCTACGCCTTCTTGCTGCATTGGTTCGTACTTGGTGCGGAGAAGTACAAGGGTGCCGTGGGCACCTCGGACGGCCCGTCTGCCGCGCCGAAAGCGCGAAGAGGAAGGGGAGGGAAGGCCGTTACGGGTGGTCGTGCGAAGAAGACTACAGAGTGGTCATGGGTGGATCGGATTGAGCCCGCACTGGCCCTCATCGTAAAGGTGCTCAAAATACGCTCTCAGAAGATCTGGCCTACGGCCGTCGATCGAGATACGTTCCTTCAGTAAGTCTTTGATCACGTCGTGTCGGGATGCCTTACTCAAGGAGTTCATAAGGGCGCTCATGAGTCCTGTCTATTGCACGGTGGAGAAGGATGCATCCATGAAGATAGGACCCGTCAGAGGCTATGTCTTCCAGGCAATCTGTCTTGCTGTAATGCGCCATAATCACAGCACGGCAGCGAAGGATCAGCTCATGCAGCTACTGGGCTATTCTGAACCTATCGCAGATCATATTGCAGACCTACTCGCGATGCTTGCGACGGATCACCAACACACTGCTCTTAGTGAGAGTTTTCTCCGGGAGGTGGCCAAGAAGACGTGGGTTACTGCCGATAGCACTGGACCCAAGTCCTTCTCGCGCTTCCTCATACGCTTGGGAGAGATCGCGCCGCAACTTATTCTGAAGGAGCTCAATGCTCTGCAGAATCATCTTGACAACGACGTGCGCATCATATCTTAACATGATGCCAGCCTCCATCACTCACATCCTAAGTCATACAGGCCTATCAGATGCGCAACGCGATCGTCGAAAACTTCGGCGCTATCATCCGGAATCAACTTGAAACGGCCGAGGATCGAGAGCACGCCCAGAAGACGATCGACAGCATGTTCAAGGCTCTCTTGCCGCGTGCATTAGATATGTCTTCATATGTTCGCTCTCGGGTTTTCCAAGTTCTTGCCAGGATCCTGGTTACCGAGCCAAATGACGTTTTCTCTAAAGAACAGCGCCGTCGTTTCATGAAACAGCGTGTCAAGATCACGATTGAAGCGTGTGTTGCGCTTGAGGACAAGACCGCCACAGTTCGGAAGCAGGCCTTGATTTGCTTGCGGGCAGCTATCTTGATGCATCCATATATGGCGGTCAAAGATGATCTGTCGACGAGTAACGATCTTCGGCGTGAGGACTACGCGAAGTGTTACAATAAGGCTCTTGCCGATGAGAAGGCTCACAAGGCCCAGTTGGCTGCTCTTGCCAGAGATAATGGGGCTTTACGACCAGCTCCACCCGCTGCAGAAGACCAGGGCAACAACATCCAGACCTCGGAGCAGCGTGAGCGACGGTGAGAGGATTTGCTAGGTATCAACTTCCGCTGATGATGTTATAGGAAGTCAAGACGGCGGTCTGGCAACGATGAGATGGACGTAGATCGCGAAGATGATGACGACGACGAGACGGACAGCATCATGGATGAGACCGATAGTATCATATCCGACGATCTCGACGAAGCGAGGGTCGAGGAAGAATTGAGGAGAATCGACCTATCTGCCTTGGATGAAGCGCACGAAGCCTTGGCGACTCACGAGATCAAGTCAATCCAGCACGCAGAATTGATCAAAACCCTATACAAGGAAGTCAGTGATCTCCTCCCGGTTTGCTCACTGTCTTGACAGGATTACTTATATACCTTTCAGGCGCTGTCGTTCATCGATACTGTGAATGAGGCAATTGTAATTGCGTGTACCTTACTAGGCAGTAAGCACAAGGTAGAGGTACCTGAAGCTATCGAGCTTCTTCGCCTAGCACATAAGAAGAAGATGTCCTCCGCCGAGGTATGTTTCGTTGATCGCCAAGACACTGATCATCGTCTGGTTACAATCTCTGCTTATCACTCACAGTACACCCACAGAAAGGCATGCGTGCGATGGTCCACCTTATTTGGCAGAAGGACAACAATGCTCCGCCGACTACTGCCGGCGAGGAGGTTGTGACGACTGGTGGTGTCCGCGCTAAGCTGATGGAGACATATCAAACGACATACTTAACGCCTCAGGAACAAGTCGGACCTCATGTTCATGCGAAGGAGGTCGCTAGGCAATTGCTCGAGTACGTTGTATACCCATCGGCCTTCGGCAAGCAGGAGCACTGACCATATGGGTGAAGCTTGACGGAGTGTATGTCACTCGCAGAATTGACTTCGTTCGAAGAGCTCCTCCGCCAGATGATGGACGAGGGCAGAGTAGACGGAGATGTCATGGAGACGCTCTGGCTTTTATGTATCCCCCTTTCGTTGAGAGCCCACGTTCATCAAACATTTCCAGGTATACGAAGACGAGCGCAACCTCCCGCTAGTACAGCGTCGCGGGGCCATTATCCTCCTCGGAATGTTCGCGCTTTCTAATCCCTCCATCATGCTTAAGAAACAATCCACTCTTCTCAAGATTGGTTTGGGCAAGCACGGAAAGGTAGTCTATGTTCAGATGCCTCGGTGATGTTCGTGCTTAACGTCCTTTTACGCAGGCCGACCTCCGGCTCGCCAAGCATACCTGCATAGCTCTCCAGCGCATGACCGGTTCCAAGAAGAAAGTCAAAGGCTCACTGGAAGATAACCGCCAACGCTTCGCCATCTCGAACCCTCTCTTCCGTCGCCTCATAGATGCACTCGAGACTCCAACACATGACCGTGCTTGGTTTGCGTTCGCGGAACAGGCCATAAACGCGGTGTATGCACTCGCGGAGAGGCCGGAGATCGTGGTGGAGAGGGTGATCAAGGACCTGA